AGAGCAATAAACAAGACACTAAAATTTTGTGCTCAGGAAACTTGATAGACTATTGCTTCTATAGACAAGAATAATCAAACATCCATGTATATCTATTTCTTAAAACATGACTCCCGGAGATACTTGGAAGATAAAGACCAGGATAAAGGCAACCCATATGATCTCATGAAAACACAAAAATAAATAAGTATGTAAAAGAAATGCTCCAGCCAAAGAGCCACTTCAGCCCTGAAGATCACAAATTATTTGCACCAAGAGTGTATATCAAAATAATCTTCATTGCTTCTTACCTCATCACACAACAGTAAAACACTAGTTGGGTGTGTGAATGACATGTACAGTGAATTTCACAAAAGGAGTTGAATGTCAAACCACAAATGATGCTATGATGTAAATCAAGATAGAAAAATGATATAAACTATTCATCTAAAACATAAACACTATTTTTGAGGACATTTGAAAGTCAAGTTACAGAACAAGTAGAATTCTTAGAGTTCATAAACTTATATGGTCTCATTAGTAAGTCCCCATGCTGTTATATACTCATAATTTATGCTCTCAACTTTTTCCTTTTGAAATTCAGTGAAATATAACTTAAACACTATTCATGGGAGCATTTGAAACACACACATTTCACAGATTACGTGAATGTTCTGAAACCCTTTAGCACAATTTTCCATCAATAGCTCCTAACTGTAAACATATGCTTATTTCAGTCCAAGTTGTTTAGATAGTCAACGAAATTATATTGAATGTTTTAGTATATACTCATACAGTATAGAGAAGGAAGAATAAAGCACATAGCTGTATTAACAAATATCAAAGTTTTAAGTTGAAAGAAGTTAAAATCAAAGATTAGACAGAGGATAACTAAAGCTAAAAATTTTAATACAGAGAAAATTAAAATACCTACTAGAAATCAAACAGGTGGCAAAAACTTGTGGGATTCTGCCTACTAATGGATGTAGGTGGTGTTTTCTATTAGCAATACTTTCTGTTTATTGATTTTGTTGTTTATATGTGGGATTGAAAAATACAATGAAGGAATCTGTATATATGTTTCTTTTAGGCAAGCCTATCATTTTCATGACAGACTCAACAGGACACATTATATTTAATTCCCCATTTCTCCATAGATAGTTCTTTATAGCCCCTTAAAATACCCTCTATTTTTAACCGATTACTAAGATGGAAAGAAGCTTACATTCACTCTAGATAAGGGATAAAGTGCAGACAAAATTAAAATATGATTTCTCGAGTTTACATTGATGAACCACTTTTCTAGAATTATAGGAGCTCAGATGAGTGTATACAGTAGAGTCTCCAAAGCCCCATACCAAGCATGAGTTGGGATTTACAGAAAGCTTTCCCACTGAAGATTTCCAAGTGATCTAACCAGCTTCAAGCACATTGCTGTCAGATAGGGCCAAGTCTTCAGTCTTCAACACATAGTGATAAATGCAATTAAACACACATATACAGGGCATCACAGTTTCAGAGGTTTAGTTCATGGTCATTGGGTCCCAAGTGCTTGAATTCCCCATTAGAGTGTCAGAAAAATGTTTCTAGATGTCCAGCACATCTTACAAACTCAGGTAAGTAAATAAATGGTAAAATTTTACTAGATTTTTAAAGCAAAAAATCAAACTCTGTTTTTTCTACTATTCTGTGCCTTTTAAAGCGATGATAAAATATATATGTGCCTCCAGTTTATTGTGGGGCAATAATCTCTGTTCTGGAATCATCTTCCCAATTGTGTCTAACACCTACAGTGCTTAGAGTCTTACATGTTTTCAGTATTAACAGTCAGGTATTTTACTATTTCAGTATTAACATTGTCATGTCAGGTGACAGTTTTTTTGTGGCTCTCTCAAATCTCTTTATGGCTTTCCAGCAACCACATGGCCTCC